CGCGCCGGGAGTGGCACTGAGCCGGGACCCTGGGGTGGCACCAAGCTGGGGCGCGTGGGTGGTACCCAGCTGAGGTGGTGTGGTGGCACTGAGTGGGGCACGCGGGTGGCACTGGACTGGGGTGCTGGGATGGCATCGAGCTGGGACATGCGGGTGGCACTGAGCTGGGGTGGGGGGCATTGAGCTGGGGCACACGGGGGGTCCCCAATGACGGCACTGAGCCGGGACCCTGGGGTGGCACCAAGCTGGGGCGCGTGGGTGGTACCCAGCTGAGGTGGTGTGGTGGCACTGAGTGGGGCACGCGGGTGGCACTGGACTGGGGTGCTGGGATGGCATCGAGCTGGGACATGCGGGTGGCACTGAGCTGGGGTGGGGGGCATTGAGCTGGGGCACACGGGGGGTCCCCAATGACCTTCCTCCTGTCCTAGCTGTCATCCAGCTGCCCCCCCCAGGCTCTTGGGGGTAGGGGGGGGCTCGGGGTCCCCACTGACGTCTGCTGGCCACCCTGGGGGGTCCACGCCGTGCCAGGGAGTGTGCGTGGCACCCTGCCCCCTCCCAGGGCCACCCTGCCCACGCAGGCAGGGAGGGCAGGGGGACAAAGCCGTGCCAGACGCTGAGCACCCTGCGGCCGCCTCTCCTCGCAGGTCATCTCGGAGGAGATCTCGGGGAACAACGGCTACGTGGAGCTCGCCTTCCGGGCCAAGAAGCTGGACGACAAGGTGAGCCGGGTCCTGCGGGCAGGGGAGCCAGGGAGGGCCAGGCAGGCAGGGCGGGCAGGGCGGGCAGGGCGGACGGTGCTCTGCCCCATCCTCCCTCCTCCAGGACCTCTTCAGCAAGTCGGATCCCTTCCTGGAGATCTACCGCATCGACGACGACCGCAGCGAGCAGCTGGTGTACCGCACCGAGGTGAGGCCCCGGGCAGGATCCGTCCCTCGGCCGGCACACGGCCGCCCCGGCGGCTGCCCGGCCCCGCTGAGCCCCTCGCCCCACAGGTGGTGAAGAACAACCTGAGCCCCATCTGGGAGCCCTTCAAGGTCTCCCTCAACTCGCTCTGCAGCTGCGAGGAGAAGAGGAAGCTGAGGGTGAGGAAGGGCGATGGGGACCCCCATCCCTGCCCCGGGGGCACGTGTACCCTGGCTTCCCCGCGGCCCCGCATGGGCAGGGACAGTGGTGAGGCTGGGTGCGGTTTGGGGGGGCGTGGGTGTGCACCCACCCCCCCCACCCCCCCAGCCGGGCGCTGCCCAGCCAGGGCTGAGCCGTGTCCCACCGCAGTGCGTGGTGTGGGACTACGACTCGCGGGGCAAACACGACTTCATCGGGGAGTTCTTCACCACCTTCGAGGAGATGCAGAAGGCGATGGGGGAGAACAAGGTGGGTGCAGGGACACGGGGACAAGGGGACAGTCTTGGCGGGCTCCCCACCGTCCCGCCAGCAGATCCCATTCCAGGAGGCACCTCCCAGCTCCTCCTCTGGTTTTGGGGCTGTTGTCCCCTCGCTGCCCCCTCTTCGGGGAAGGGGATAGTGGGTCTGGGCTCCTCTGGGGAAATCGGCCCCGGTCGGGCCGGCTGGAGACCGTGGGCTGGCCGGGAGCAGGAGAAGGCAGCTGCGCTCTGGGGCTGTGGGGCGTTATGGGGCGGTTGTGGGGTTGTAGTGCTGTGCTG